TTTTTTTTAAAAAAAAATTATTATTATTTTTTAATGTTTTATTGTGAATTATGTGATAGTTTACATGGGAGAACATTAGCTTTACATTCATCTTATCATATATCGTTTCATTGCCATGGTTATAATCCCCTCCATGCATCATCAAGCAACCAAAGGGTATATATACCCTTACCCTGGAAGCCTGCCTCCCGGTCGTCAGCACACTGCCCCTCTCCCTCCCTGGGTCTAAAGTCCCCAACTGCTCCATCTCTCCACGTCATCTTCTCTGCCTCCTTCTCTGGCATCACTGCTGATCTGGGTAAAGTCCCGCTCTCCATTCTTCTCCCTTGATGGTCCCAGGGACCTCAGCTCCTAGACTGCAAAGTCAGTCACTCCCCTCCTTGCTACAAAACCTTTACCTTTACATTTCCAACCCTCACAAACAGTCCTGATAACAATTATTCACTATTGTATCACAAGAGACCTATCCGCATTTCCTTTCATCAGCTCCACCTAGACAGATTAGATACTACTCAGTGGAGATTCTACCTTCCTCCATGCCCTCTGGATCTAGGTTCCTTCTTGAAAGCTTGTAAGCCAGTCACTTCTTGTCTCTGTAGCACCCCCATTTTGGCAGCCAATGTCCAAGTTGTCCATCCCTGTCTACTTTATGTATGGAGGGGGTGGGAATGATCCTCGCTGTAAAGATTTATTCCCTCTTTTGAGCTACTGCATCCATAGGTGTAGGTCAAGTTCATCAAATTGTATCAGATTACTCTTTTTTTTCCACTTGTTTCTTCTTCTAGTTGAGGTCTGATCATCCTGTCATTGAAGCCAGGTCAAGTGGGTATTATCTGCAAGTGTGGGTGTTCTTGTGCATATACTCTCTCTTGTTATCAGCTGGATTACTTCACTCTCCACTCTAGTCCTTTTGGCTATGTCACTGACTCTGGGCCCAAGAGTCCCCAGGTCTTGCCACACTGCTGGCCAACCAGGTCTCCACACGTGTCGGGTTCAAGGAGTCTGTTGCACATTGTACGGTTTAGCTTGCAGCTTCATTGTTGTTTTTCCCTCATTTCCCCTTATCGGTGACAAACGTGGTCACCAATCAGAGCATGTATTCCCACTGAGTCTTAGTCTTAGAAGGGGGTTTGCTCTGAGGAGAATCCAACCACTTCCCTTGATGTCTCCTGGGTGAGCCACTTGTTTGTTCTTGTAGTAATCAGTTGGTCTGCCTATATTGTTTTGTATTTTTTCCTGTCAATCTTTCTTTCAAGAAGTATCTTTCTGAAAAAAAAAGAAGTATCTTTTGTTCTTCTAGCCTCTTCAGGCTGGTCTGCTTGTCCTTTCCAGTGGAAATTTCCCACCTCTAAAGATTCTGGAT